CAATTTTGTTGTGCCATATAAGGAGCCGTGGTTTGATGTATTATTCTAGTAGATTCAAAATAAAATGAATTATAATACGGACCACCTCTGCCAATACATAAAACTTTTATCAAATCATTTTTATGTAGCTATACTTGTTACTTATAAACTTTATATTTATCAAAAGCTTCATCTTTTGAATGCAACAAATAGACATAACAATATCTAGGTGTGTCATCGATAAAATTAATGACATACTTTTCATTTCCTAGAGAACGTGATGCATGAAAATCACATATATCATAATGTATGAGTTCCAACAGTTTTCTTTCTCTGTTAGCATCCTTAAAAGGTTGTCTAGTGATCTTTGTTAGCATGCAAGTTTTAGACTTTTCATTATTCATGTCAAAAGCATGTATTAAACTTAGTTTAGATATATCTTTAAATCTTTTATAATGAACATCTCCTACTTTAGCGTGCCATAAATCTAATTTACTTAAGTTATTGCTAGCACTATTTCAAGTCATGCAAATCGGATGATCATAAAAAGGATAAGTTAACATGAACCTATTCATACCATTATATACATAACCAAATCCAAAAAAATTACCATGTCTTGACAAGATATACTTATCAATTTCCAACACTTGTTTGTAGCCACACTTATTTAACACAACTTTAGATAAGAGATTCTTTTGAATCCTTGGTACATACAACACACTATCTAAACATAAACATTTTTCAAAAGTAAAATTAAGTAAATACACCCTAATCCTTTGATTAGTTCATTTGCAACATTTCCGATATTCACAACAAATCCATATTTAATTGACAGTCTTTAAACCAATGAAGATCCTTTCAAACATGAGTTGTTGCACCAGAATCAACCCACCAAGAAACATCATCAGCGTGAACATAAAATGACTTAGAAATTACAGAAACATAATTATGAACATAATTAAAATTATGTACCAAATCAGAATTTTGACCTTGTTGCTTTTCTGGATCCTTAGACCTACTTGGACAAACATCTTAGTTCACCATAGGAACACGAAAATCCCTCTTGAAATGGCCAGGTTTCACACACTTCCAACACACCAGTTAGACTTTTTGTTAGAACATTTATCATCTCCATTTTTGTACTTCCCTTTGTTTATATACATGTTGGAATTCTTTATTATCTATCACCTTCCACGGTATTCATAAAAGAAGATCCAACTTGATTTTTACCTTTAGGGTTATTATCAAGTTATTGAGTCCTTAAAGACTCTCCAATATTTAAGTGACTTCCAAGTTGAACCAAAGCTAACTCTTCCTTGTTATGTTTAAGAGTATGTTTAAACTCTTTCCATGAAGGAGGCAGTTTTTCAATGATGACTACCACCAAGATGGCTAGATCCATCTTTAGATTATGTTGGATAAATTGTTGCAAAATCCTCAATAATTCATGAAATTGTTCCATGACAGGCCTAGTATCAATCATCTTGTAATTCATAAAAATACTGACCAAAAACTTCTTACTAGAACCATCTTCTGCCATAAACTTGTATTATAGTGAATCACATAGTTTAGTTATAGATTCAACATTTTGATAAACATCAAATAGCGAGTCAGCATACCATTTAGGATGTGGCCACGAAATATGTAGTCATCATTCTATCACTTCAGTCTCCTGCTAGACACTTCTAAGGTTTCATCTTCGACGTATTCATGCATAGTGGTATTTAGAACATACAACACTTTCAAAGTAGTATGGAGAAAATGCATTTTCTTCTGTCATCTACAAAAAATCTCGCCTTTCAAACTTGATCAACTTATCATAATTTTTTATTTTGAATGTAATTTCCAGCCAGAGGTTCTACACCTTGGACCCCGCCAGGGGTTGCCATCCCATAGACCGCGCTTTCAAGGGGGCTGCCAACAGACCCCTTTGGTTTAAACGCTTCTCTCCTAAATAATAGTGTACTTTAAATCAGAATAAACTCAAACAAGTATGCACTCCATACCACCTTTTTTCAATATTTATGAAGATTACATTGATAATTGTAACACCTAGAATCTTGAGGAATAATTGTGAAAATAAATCCCCTTTCTAGGGTTAGACACGACGTGTTGTAGAAACCAACACGGTGTGTCTAGATTGAAGAAACACGACTTTCTTTAAGGTCAACATGATGTGTTTATGGAGCAACACAACGTGTTGGCGGCTGGTGGAGAAAACCCTAATTTTAGGGTGTTGTACCCTATATAATGGCCTTAAGTCCTCATGGCTGGCCTCCTTACCAGCCTCCATTGCCACTAAAACCCTAAAATCGATCTGTATCCTGGTAGATAGGATGTTGCTATGTTGTTTTGATCTGTTAGATCGGTATCCTGGTAGATAGGATGTTGTTATATTGTTATGATATGTTAGATCGGTATCATGGTAGATAGGATATTGCCATGCTTAGTGATCTGTAGATTTGTTTGATTAGCTGTAGAATGCTATATGATTATCTATTATATGTTCGTATGTTTGGTCGGTGGCTGAGGCTTCACTGCTTTGTGTGTAAGCCAAAATGTTGGGGCATTCCAACCCGATGGTTGAGGGTCTGGGGTATTCCAAACCGATGGTTGATTGGACCCACAATATGTTGGCATTCCAACCCGATGGTTGAGGGCTGAGGGTATTCCATCCCGAGGATGATTGGACACATAGTATGTTGGCATTCTAACCCAATGGTTGAGGGGCTTGGGGTATTCCAACCCGATGATTGATTGAACCCATAGTATGCTGTTATTTGTTGGTATATATATATATATATATATATATATATATATATATATATATATATATATATGATTTGTTCGTGTGGTGGTATTTTGGGGGAACTGACTAAGCTTCATGCTTATAGTTTTGGTTTGTGGTTTCAGGTACTTCAGTGGATTGTGGCAAGGCGAAGAAGTGACCATACACATCCCTGGTTTACAACTGATTGGATCCTGGAAGACTCTGATTTTAATTAATGTTTTGGAAATAATAGTTTGTAAACACTTTTATTAATAAATGAGTAGTTTTTGAAAGATTTAAATTTGTTGAAATTTTTGGGATATTACAATCATCAAGCTCATCCAATTACACTTAAATAATATTGGTGATGCAAATCACCAACATGACCTTTGTATAATCTACTTGTATAATTTATAGAGTAATTTGCTATGAACAACTCTAGGTGTTTATTTAAGTTTGTGGGTTTCACTCCATCATTTCATTTAAATTGTGTAACTCGTTTTATGAAGAAGATGATGATTTTATCTTACTGGTATCTTTTATGATTCTATCTTAATATTGAATATTCTCAATTTGAATTAAGTTTTATATGCAAATGTCATACAAGATATTTTGGCATTTCCATTGTTATCTTCAAGATGATATTGTCGATGATTGTGGTCGGATATTCCTTAAACCTCCTTATAATTGATAAATAAAAGTATTGTTTTTATTTTTATTTTTTGTCATATGATACTGCAAATATATACCTCTAGAACTCCAATTAAAATTAAAATTGGTGGTTGTTAATATATTAAGTTTATTACATATTAGTTTATTACATATATTTTAACATGAGGGATGTAACGGTCAACTTTATTTCAGCCTTTACTTTCTTTTTTATATCCAATTTCATTAGACTATCGAGATTCAGTTTAGTAGGCTAATGTTGGATGCTTAGATGGATGTCGGTGTGAAGGCCTCAAAATATTAACTCTACGTAGCTTCTTTACTTATGAATTTTTCTATTTTAGTTGGCATGGAGTTTCACCAAATTACTTGGGATGACCCTACTTATTTCATAGAAAAAGTTTTATCTTATGAAGTTTGTATATTTTATCATTTTTCCTGTGAAGTTCTTGGAAATATTGGTATGTATGACTTTTATGAATGTACATAAAAGCTTCTGAAAGGGTTTGACTACAAGGGCCTGGTAGTTAAAGTTTTTAAAAAAATTATAATATTGATGCAATAATGTATCTTAAAAAGTAAAATTTAAATTTATGGATGTTTAACAGTAATATAGCTATTTTGAATAGTCCGAATGTTGGATCTTGGACTTGGTTTTATAAATGTTCGGTATGTTTAGATTTCTTGGAAGCATATGTTGATAAAATTCTTAAATCTTAAAGGAAACTATTTTCCAAAATCAAATATGTATTCATTTACTTAATAGATATATTTTAAAAGTAATGATATTTGTGATATATTGCATGCTCTTTAAATTATTACATATTTACAAAAGAAACTACTTGTTAAAACAAAACTAATCGACAACATGTAACAATTTATGGATGTTTAACCGTAATATAAAACTAGTCACCATCCTTCGAAACGAAACTAATTACCAAAAGAAATCTATTTGCCGAAGAAAGAAAACTCAAAGTAATATGTTCTATCATCCAATGTTGTATATAAAAAGTAATTGTAATATATGATTAATGACTATGTTGTTTTATTTTGTGAACAATACATGAGCTATAGTCTAGTTACTAGGCTACCGGGTATGGGTCCATATATAATGGGGTGTTATGGCTGATGTGGCAGCCCAAAACGCGGTTGTAATGCGATGAACAACACCCCCAAATGCGTTATGGTAAGGTGCGTTGTAACGACCACCAAGAGCAACGGCTGCCCTTCTCTCTTCCTTACTCTATTTTTCTTCTTTCTTGGCCTTTCAATGGGGTATTTATGGAGGAACACCATCCATTTTTCTTCCCAACCCCTTTTTCTTGTTTCTTACCTCTGATGTGGCCTTTTAAGGGAGGTGACCATACCATACCGAGTACTCTTAATAAATTACGACCATGGCCATATCACATAAACTGTTGTGAACGATACAGCCATGTGACAGTGTGCAATAAATTAATAATGAATTCACATGAGTCCAAAGGTCATTTAACTGTGTCAATATAATCTTATTACACAGAAAATTTTACCATAGTTAACCATATATTTACAAACAGAGAAAAGAGGAGTATATTCTGTATTTTTAGTTTCCCAGAATGTTAAGAAGGGAAACTCGCGTTTGAATCAGTCTCCGAAAAAGGCTGTCTAACTCAACCTCGTAACCCTCGATCTGATGATCGAGGTTTAGTAATCTCTCTGTCACCATTTGCACATCAATGGATTTACTCTTATTTTTCTGTAAAGAACGAAGTGTTACATCTATCATATCAACGTCGGTAGTAATCTCTTGAATTTTGCCATAAGCTGGCCTACTCATGGGCACCAATCTTGACATCAACGAGAACCCCTTATCTACTTTTGTTCTACCTGACAAACAAAAGAAAAGACCTCGAAACACAGAGATGGTGGCAGATACGATTTGTCTTAGAACTCCAATCACCATCGACAAATGATCATCTTCACCAGAGACCATACATGCTTCAGTTTCTCTTTCCATTTTCTCTAATGAACGAAGGTACTGCATAATATTCTTCTTTGCTTTCTTCCGGTATAACAAGTAATCCATGATATCAGCTTCACCACTCGCATCTATAGCTTTTCCTTTTCTTCGCAACGCAGATTGAAGGGCCCTGACATTTTTCTTCATTAGAGCCAGAAACTCCAAGAGGTTACTACATGAATCCAGCAACGTAGTCGACTCAACTAGCACATCTTCGATAAGGAGTTTGTTGTTACACTGAAGATCAACTTGTTGGATTCGATATGAACTAATAAGTTCATCGACAGAGAGATACAAGTCAACCAAGCATACAAAAGTAGTTTGATAGCTTACCGATGAACATAAAGGTATAAGTGTGTTAAGGTTATCGAGGTTAAGTTTGATTCGAGTAGAAATTGGGGTTAGCTTTGATGGCAAACTAATTGATCTAAACTGAGGTTTGGTAGAGCTCTCCATGGATGAAGATTTGGTCAAGTATGCTAATGGAGGATGCTACTCTACGCTCATATTTATGATGATTTTTTCAAAAAGGAGATATTTGTCGTTTGCACATATGAGGTGTAATTTAGTTGAATTCTTAACTTTTTGAAGCAAAAATATTAATAAAATATCAGGGTAACGAAGTGGTCAGTATTGACGTGGCTTTTATTAACAGCTATGCAAGAATAACGAGTGGATGAGAGGCATGCAGTATTAAATGGAGACACGGATAGAAAAATCAATGCAATATGAAGAATAGTTACTAAAAGTTAATTGGATAACGAAAGGAAAGAAAAGAAAGAAAGTATCTACTGAATCACTGATGTCAAATAAGCTTTTGTTGAAAAGTAAGAGTACAAAGAAGAGGAAACCATAGTGTTGATTTCCATGTGAATTGAAAAGTAAGAGTACAAAGAAGAGGACACCATAGCACTTAATACCTCTTAATAAGAGGTAGCTCTGAATTACTATAAGATTCAGAGTAATTGTTTACCACTTAATATATTGTCATAATCTGAAGAAAAAAAAAAGCACTTACGGAATCAGATGATGGTGCCCATCTGAAAAGAAAAAAGACTCCCTCTATCCCTAAAACGCATCCGTCTTCTTTGCTGATTTTGCTGCTGTTTTTGTCCATCAATATCTAACTGTTGGTATGGTACCATTCTGTCCCAATAGTTAACGGTTCACACGAGAATTACTTAATTTATTGAGTGGATTTAGAAAATTCGTGTTATTGTTCTAAAATAAACTTAATGGAACACGGAAGAGTAGAAAGTGGCAAAACGAATTTAGCAGCGTAATCAAGATAGATTTACCTTCTAATAAAATTTATTTATTCAATTTAAAGTAAAACTGAAATAATTAATGCAAAACTGAAGAGTAGCAAGTGGTAATCCCCACTTTAAGACCTCAATAAATACAAAAAGTTGGAGAAACAAGTTGGTCTGCTGTACTGTGTTGGTAGATGGGGTGGATCCATCCAGAACGTTATGGGAGTCGGTCCAAAAAATAAAAATAATTAATTTTTCTTATTAAGTAGTTGAACTAGAATGGTAAGTGGCAATGTGACATGTTCAGAGTTAATCTGACGAAGGTTATGGATAACTAGATAGGCATTTTATGTAAGATTTAAAAATATATTTGTTGAAATGATAGTTACATTTTATTAAAAATTATTGGCCTAACCGTATTAGGTGTTTGAAAAGATGTTTTTCTTTAAAGAGTTGATAGTTCAAATCCGGTAGTAAAATATGTATAGTTAAGAAGTAGGTTATGATAATAGAACAATATTCATATTGAAAGGGAGAAAGTGTTAGTTCTTTATTAGAAAGTCAAAGAGCAACAAACAAGAAGAAGAAGATTAAATAGCTAGCTAAGGAACAAAATCCTAATGGGCTAAAGACAAAAGAGTCCATAAACAAGTAGGCTAATAACATATGGGCTAATATTCCCCCTCAAACTCACAATGCTACAATAATAAGCATTGAGAGTTTGTCATACAAAAAAGGAAATCGAGACACCAATAGAGCATTCGTAAAAATATCAGCAAGCTACAAGGTTGATGGAACAAATGGAAGCGATATGGTCCTGAGTTATAAGTGATGACGGGTGAAGTGACAATCAATCTTAATATGTTTCGTCTGCTCATGGAAAACATAATTCTTTGCAATTTGTATCACACTTTTGTTGTCACAAAAGAAATGTGAACCCCCATATCTGTAAGAAGTCACTGTAACAATATAATCTCACATGTAGTCACATCCATACCACGATACTCAGCCTTCGTGGATGATCTAGAGATAATGTTAGGTTTCTTGCTCTTCCATGAAATTAGACTCTCCAAGAAACACACAAAATCTGGTGCTGCATTTACGATCATGATGATCACCATCTCAATCAGCATCACTATAGGCACATAACTCAAGAGATGACGTCGAGGGAAACAAGAGGGTCTGAAATTGAGTGTCATGAAGATATCTCAGAAAACGGAGAATATCTCCCCAGTGAACAGATGTAGGAGCAGTAACAAACTGACCGACAACGTGAACAACATGAGCTATATCTGGACAAGTAACTGTGAGTTAAACCAAACTTTCCATAATAGCCCGGTAAAGATTTGAATCGTATAAAGGAACACCATCAGTAGGAGAGTATCGTGCATTGGTTTCAAGAGGAGTATCTACAGTCCAATTGTAAGAGAGGCACGTCTGTGTAAACACGTCGGATATATATTTAGTCTAAGAAAAAAGATACCCTTTCTTAGACTGAACTACCTCAATGCCCAAGAAATAACGCAGCAAGCCCAAATCCTTCATAGCAAACCAATGAGCTAGATCATGCTTCAAAGACTCAATATCATCATGGTCATTACCAGTAATGATCATGTTATCCAAATATAAGGACAAAAGAATCCGTATGGCACTCGTGCATCTGATAAACAAAGTCGAATCATGCTTCCTCTGAACAAATCTAAGAGACGTAATCACTGTGGAGAATTTTTCAAACCAAGCACGAGGTGCTTGCTTGAGACCATATAACGCTTTCTGAAGCTGAAAAACCTCACCCGACTAGTGCTGAACGCTTAGGGGAGGAGACATATAAACCTCCTCGTGGAGGTCACCATTTAAAAAGACATTATTGACATTCGTTTTAAAGACCTTCCACTGTTGAACGGATGCAACACCAATCATAGTACCGACTGTCGTCATCTTTGCCACTCTGACAATGGACTCCTCATAGTCAAAACTATACTGTTAGGAATACCTTTTTTCCACAAGTCTGGCCTTGTATCGCTCAACAGACACATAAGACTTTGTTTTTATCTTGTACACCCAACGATAACCAATCGTATGTTTACCAGGTAATGAAGAGAAACCAAGTCCCATGTATCGGTCTAATAAAGAGCAGTGAGTTTCTCGGCCATCTCATTTTTCCAAAGAGGAACTAATACAATCTCTCTATATGATTTAGGTTCAGATAGATGATGGATGTTGGCTATAAATGAAGGAAATGATTCTGAGTACATAGAGTAAGCAAAATCTGGAAGCTTGGTGGACTTGATAGGATGGGTAGACCTCCCGAGGGGTGGTGAAGGTGGTCTTCAGTCTCAACAGTCGAAGAGGCAGACTCAGGAAAAGGAGGAGTCGAGGAACTTTCTAAAGGAGTGGTCGTCTCATGAACTTGATGATCAGACACAATAGATCAATCCCGAGTCTCTATATCCACATCAAAATGATCAATATGCAGAAGATCTGACTTCGTTACATTCTGTGCTATAGCAGGAATCGAATAGAAAGGAATATGTTCCAAAAATATGACATGTCGGGAAACATATAACTTCTGACTAACAAGATCATATCAACGATACCCTTCCTGTCCAACACCATACCCAAAAAAATACACAAATAGCATATTTTGACCCCAACTTGTTGCTCTTAACATGAGGACAAAGAAAAAAGAAGTACATCCCAAAACTCGTAGAGCAGAGTAGTCTAGTAGGTGACCATATAGATTTTCAAAAGGGGACATTCCTGATGAAACATCCCAAAAACATAGCCCAAAAATTTCATTTTAATTCATTAATAAAAACCATAAATATCATCCATCATATAAAAGTCATAGATCGTGTATCTCAAAAATATTATAATATCTGTCAATGTATCAAAATCATATGTCAAAACATCAAAGTGAATCCTCTCATGCTAAAAACTGTGGTGTGTGCCATGCAGTCATCCTGAACTCTTCCCCTTACTAGCGAAAGTACCTGAAACCAAAGCTGAAAACTATAAGCACGAACCTTAGTGAGTCTCCCCAAGCTACCACATAACATACACATAATCACATATATCATACATTGGGCCCCACCCTAATATATCGGGCACTGCCCAACATCGGCTTGTCCGACATCGGGCCCCGTCCGGCATCAAGCCCCATCTGGCATCGGGCCCCGCCAGGCATCGAGCACATCTCGGCATAAATATGAGCCTAAACTACTAACACATATAACATAAGCATAATCATTTAACTATAAACATATAACCATTTTCCTCGGGCCCCGCCCGACATCAGACCGAAATCCGGAAACATACAAACATTCCTCGGGAGCCGCCCCAGCATCGGACTGTGGTCCGGAAATATACAAATACATACACATGCAAGAATCACAAAGACATCAAGCATACTACCATCCTTCGGGCACCGTCCCAGCATCAGATCGAAATCCGAAAAACATATAAACCTATCTCCGGCCCCGCCCGACAGCAGATCCTAATCCGGAACATACTAACATACATAATCGGGCCGGCCTTGGTGCCTTAGATCCGTTCCTACTGGAGGAAGACTCACCTCAAATGTCGAGTGAAGTAGCTGAACGTCTCGGCTCCTGCGACCGGCTCTACTCACTCCCTATACAAAACAACCCCTTAGATACCATTCCTTATGTCAAGACCCCTTCACGGGTCAACCATGGTCAAGTCAAAGTCCCTGTCAAATTCAACGCTCAGTCAAAGTCAATGTCAACAATTTGAGTTGACTCAACTCGTCTAGTCAATCCCCTGACTCGCCGAGTTCCACTGCTACACTTAGTCGTGAAAACACCAACTAACTCGTCGAGTCCCTTCACAGACTCGTCGAGTTCCACCTTGTACAGGATCGGGACAAACCAACTTAACTCGTCGAGTCCCTCCATGGACTCGCCGAGTTCCTCTATCTGTTTGAGCCATCTCAATGAATTAAGCTCCTATCCCACAGATCCAAACTCCATACTTCATCTACATATTGGGAATCCACTTTTAAGGGTAAAGTTTCCAACTTTACCCGCTATTAGTCCTTCTCAAAGGGTTTAGCTGAAACCCTAACTCCCTAGAACAAAGATCTTGGTCCAAAAACCATAATACTCCAAACTAAGTCATCCAAACCTAGATCTAGGCCTTAGACATCACTTGGACACGTAAAGCTCCTAACTTTCCTTCCAT